GTAGAGGACCATCGCGATGAAGCCCCACTGGTCCCATCATTTACAAACGACGTACTTTACAATATGGACATTAATGAAATTTTAGCTTACAAGACAGACCTTACAACAAATAGCCAAGGCTTAGATGAAATTATACATGCAGAAATTTCCAATACTACTACTTCGAATTTCAATCAAGGTCATGGGGAAATAACTGAAGGGCTTCGAGGTACAAACACCGAATTGCAAGATAAGTTAAATGGATCCGCAGGCGAGATAAAACATACCAACGATCAGGTTATGACGAAATTAATTTCAGAAAATGAAGATTCAAATAAAAAGCAGCATAGGACAGAACTCGTAATTGAGGGCAGAAATAACGACTTGCCTAGAAGTTCCAATATTGTGTCAGGCACAAAAAACACCCATCAAATTAATATTTTATCCAACATTTTAGTATATCCTTCAACCAGCAACATTTCGGCGAAGAAGAAGAGGAAAGTGGATGCTATGCCTAGTGTCCTGACATCAACCCAGTGGGTTACCTTGGCTGAGAAAAAAGAACAAGAAAAGTTAGAGGCACAAAACCTTAAGGAAGAGCGAAAAAGAAAACGAGAAGAGAGCAAGATACTTCTGGCAAAAAAGAAAAAAAATACTAAACGAATGAAAAAACAACAGTCGGAAATAAAGGACAACCAAGAGAATGATGAAAATGAAAAACTTCAAGTGGATTTAAGTCATACAGATAATGTAGATGATTCTGTAGAATTAACCGATGACTACGTTCTTAAAAAAGGTGCTAAAGATTTCCAAACACATTTAAAAAAAAATACTTATGTGATAGTGAATTACGATACTGGATTTTATCCCGGAAAAATTCTTAAGGTAAAACCTGATGGTTATTTCATTGCTGCTATGGAAAAGAGTGGTGTCCAACATTGGAAATGGCCGGACAAAAAGGATCAGCTTCTTTACCAGTTATGTGATATACACCAAATAATTAACAAACCAAAAAAAATAAACAATAGGGGTGCATTTATGATAAAGGAAATGGAGGAGTACAATAAGACTACTTATGAATAGGTACTAAACTATATATATATTTACTATATAGGTACCTAGTTTTAACTATAGTTACTATAATATAATATATTCTTTTACCTAGTCAGTTTGAGTTGCGAAGTAGGTAAGAATTAAGTTAATAAAAAATAGGCTAGAGAAAATGTTTTTAAGTGTTTATGTTAATTTTTTTTTATTAAAACATGTTGAAAAAAATTAACATTGTTTTTTAAAGTGTTTATGTTTATTTATTTTTATTAAAATATCTTAAAAAAAATTAAACATTTTTTTTTCTCAACCCTGGCCAAAACTGGACAATTAAGTGGCGAAAGCTGGTTCAATAGTGGCCACAACTGGTTAAACTCGTAGTTAGCTTCATATTTTATTTGTCCACAAAGATCGTATAGGGTATCCTTTTTTAATGCATGATATTCATAAACCTAACATATAACCGAGTGAGATTGGAGCGTCTTACTTTAAGGACGTTCAGAAGGCAAATTTTTGTAATGATGTGAAGCCGAAAATTTCCTTAACGTGGCCAAAACTAGCTATTCTACCCTACTAACGATACTTAAAAAAATACCGTTTTCAGGTTACATATTGAAAAGTATTTATATAATCATAAAAATAGTATATTGTGCAACTAGTGTTTTGACCACTAGTCGCACGCAAAATTTAATTTAATCACCGCAAGAAATTTAAAGCCAATTTTTATTTTTATTTTATCTAATATCTGACAACTGTTAAATATAGTAAATTTAAAAGTAAACTACGTACACGTCATCAATAAAACAAAAATTTTACGCATTGGTACCAACACTAAATGACTAAATCGAAGTCTGTAATTGAATATTTGAATGCATTTTAAACATCTTCAGTTGGCAACAATTAAGATGTTGTCATATTTACATTCAAATATTTCATATTTAAATGACACATAAAAAAGAATTTGACGTTTTAGAATTTCGAAGCTGTCAGTTGTGTTTTTGAATATTTCGTTTAATTCGTGTATTATTTCGTTTATTTTGTTTGTTGTTTGTGTTATTTTATATCGTTTAAGTTTTCATTGCCATTTAAATAGTCGGAGTCAAGAGTTGGTGTCATCCTTAATACGCTATTTTGAGGCAGAACGGGATAATAATGGACCTTTGTTACCTTTAACAGCTGTTAGAGAGGTAAATAGGATTATTATTAATTATATATTAGAATATTTAACAAAATATATGTTGGATACATAAAATAATAATATATATACCAGAGACTGACTTTAGATAGCAAAATTTTTGGGTTTTATATCAGAAAATGTCTTTAAAAATGGCTAAAAACATACTTTTGGCGGTGCATCATATAGGTTATAAAAACTCAGACTTTTGACATTTTGGTATTATTCATGTAAACGCCATCTATCGCCCTGTAGCTGCACTACCACTTCCCCTTGATGCAAGGATTTTAGCATCACATTGACAACCGTGCCCGATCAGCTGATTGATGACGTGTACGTAGTTTACTTTTAAATTTACTATAGTTTTATCTTCTCATACATTGACGAGCTGTGACTTTATGGCGTTTTAGTCACGGGCTAAAGATAACAACAGTTGCTTTTGGGTATTTTAGTCACGGGCTGAAGTTGGCTTTATTATAAATTAGGGAAAAGTGAGGTTAAATTCGTCAGATGTCAATTATTTATGAATTAAAATTGGCTTTAAATTCTTATGTCTGTTCGTCGTAAATAAAGTATAGTATGCAACTCATTTTGTAAACTTCTCCAGACACTCGTTTTTATTAAACACTAACTTGCAAGCTTCGCTGCCTAATAAAACTCGTAACTAAAATGGCGTTTATAAAACTTGATTCATAATATACTATTATCTACTCCTACATTGACGAGCTGTGACTTTATGGCGTTTTAGTAACGGGCTAAAGTTAGCAATAGTGGGTTTTGGGCAGTTTATTCACGGTCTGAATTTATCTTTATTATAAATTAGGGAAAAGTGAGGTTAAATCCGTTAAAAGTTGACAGATGTCAAATGTAAACATTAAAACAAATAAAATTGGCTTTAAATTCTTCATTGTGTTCGTTGTAGATAAATTATAGTATGCAATTCGTTTTATAAACTTCTCTAGACAGTCGTTTTTATTAAACACTCGCTCGCAAGGTTCGCTCGTGCCTAATTAAACTCGTAACCAAAAGGGTGTTTATAAAACTTGATACATAATATACATTTAAATAATATACTACTATTAACTTCCCTTTTTTAATTTTAACTTAAATCTAACAACATAGAATTTCGCCTACAGTTTGAAGTTAAGTAATGAGCAATCAGGAAATTCATTATTTTGCCCACTCTTAGAAGGGCCACGAAATTACATATTCCTTGCGGGTGTTGGATAAATATTGCAAAATTCTCATAATTACTTCCATTACCCATCGTTCCTCACGATGTTACTAATTATCAAATCGCCTTTTATTTATCGAAAACCATCCTAACGGTACCTTACGTTAGGATGGTCTTTTATAGGATATCAATGTTAAGCAAAAACGGCCATGTTTTGTACGGTACGGGCATGCAATTTGCATTTATTATTATAATTTTAATCATGCATGTTCTCTTATATTTTTAGAGTATAATGAAACTGTGTCGTTAGATATTATAATAAATAATAATCACGACAGTTGGGTTTGCAATAAGACTTAGTTAAAAACAAAAAGTAAACCAATAAACATAAATGTACTGTACATTATGTACATAAATATTATAATAATTATTAGACTTAGTTTTTCAAAGCTCGTTAATAATTACAAAGATGCCTTTTGGTGGTTTGTTGTAATCAAGGAAAACCGAAAGCGTAACAAAAAACGTGAAAGTGATTTTAAGAGAAATTATTAAAAATAAAAATTAATTGTTATTTTCTTAAGGTTTATAAAACCACAAATTTGTCTTATTTTAAAAAAACTTGCAGATTAAATTTTACTTATTAAATACCTTCAAAAACTATATGTTAATAATTTTTTGTTTCACATAAAAGGTTTGTAATACATGTTAACCATTTCTGGGAATGTGTAATTTCCCATTTTTGTTGGAAATTACAGTTTGTTTTTATTTATGTTATGACAAACGATTTGACAAATGTCACCACTGACAAAATAACTTGATGTTTTTCTATTTCCTACTAATTCGCTTGATTTTTTTTGTGGCAAGACATTTTTAATAACGTTTTTCTCGAAAACAGTTGCCTCCATGACTTTGTAACAAGAGAACCTTTTTTACGTAAAATTATTTGGAGAATTGTATTCCAAGATCTAGAAATAAAGAAAAACCTCAAAAAAATTATAATATAATATAATATAGGTATATTTATTTGCCCAACAGATTACAAAATCCAATTACAGGACAAAATGAGGATTTTTCCCCGAGTAGCCCCTCTTTCGCACGCCTATGGTCATCATTTATCCGATTCGACACCTCCAGATGATTTCTTGCCCAAAAATTACCCCAGAACTAGGTATCATTATTTTAACACTAGAAACGGTCTGAAATAATTAATAAAAACCTGATTTTGCAAAACACTATAAAATGCCTATACCGCCCCCAGGAGGTATTTATAACAACTTTACAGCAACTTTTTTTTATTTTTCGTGTAGAATCACCCCCAGAAATATATTAACCTTATTTCCGGACACCTTGTATGTAATATATTAATTTATGTTTTGAGAGTTCACAGAATGGCGAATCCAAGAAAACCATACAGCTGAAGACTTTTCTGGCCTAACAAATTATAAAACGGCGGGCCAGTACGCAAATCGACTCTCACATTGCAGATGGTTTTTATTAATTTAATAGAGGCAAACGCTCTCTTCAATTGTTATTATGACGACTAACGCTATGATTAGGATTAGAAAAAGTTTTTATGAACGTAGGTACATTATTTGAAAGTAAATCTTTTTCTTTAAGATAACATACCTGGTGCACTTAATGGAGGCGGTGCCGTAGATGAAGCACTATGCGTCTCTTTGCTGGACGTCTCCGTGCTAAATCCAGAATCCTGTATGGCAATATCGCCGCTCTTCTTATTTCTACCCTCGTCCTTGCCGCCTAGCTTCTTCCTGACGCGCACGCCGGGCGTCCAATCGCCCGTTCGTATCGATACCGGGATGTTGGACGAGTGGTGATGATGGTGGTGGTGGTGGGTCATCGTGGACGGCGTGGACGAGGCCAGCTTGGTGCGCAGATTGGGGAAGGTCTCCATGACGAGGTCGCGGAACTCGAGCAGCGCGCCCACCTCATGCTGCAGCTCCTGCAGCGCGACCAGCGACTTGGCCTGCTCGCTGATGAGATAGTGGAACGGCCCGGCTGGTTGGCGGAGTTGCAGGCAATCCATGCCCGGGCCCACTGGCTCGCCGCCCTAAAAAAATATTCGAATTAGAAAACAAATTTCAAATAATTAAATAATAATTAAGTATTTTTTCTCATAAAAAATGTTTTTAGCAAAAAGTTCCTTTTTGCATCGTGTAAAAGTAGTCAAGTGGAAATGTCAAATTCTAAAGGATTTATGGCCACTTACACCGTTTTCTCTAACTGATAAATAAACTGACAAGTTAACAAGGTAACAGGAGATTAGTGTCCAAAATCTTGCACCTTGATTTTTTTACTATGGTTTAAAATTTAACTATAGATCTAGGGAATTTGACTAAAAAATTGAAAAGATTGGTGCTAATAACTAACTTCACACTTATTTGTGACGCAAATATATTTTGACGTTAAGAGTTCGATTCTTTATAATCTGTGGTTCGACTCTTTATCATCTGTGGTTCGATTCACATTAAATTTTATAAATTCGCAAAAGTATCTTGTATTAATTGATTTTGAAACATAATGCGATCTTGTGGATGAGTAACAACAGGGTACTCCAGTTCATGGCAATAATATCATCAGGCAATGGCGGCTGTGGTTTATTCATGTCTCTAGCAATATTATGTAGTACAGCTACAGCTGGAATAATGGACAAAACTGTTTCTAGTTTTAATCTTAAGCCATATGCCAACACTGGAAACCTTCTTTTCCAAATTCCAAATACTCTTTCTATTATATTTATGGTTCTTAGCAGTAACTCATTATAGAGTTGCTGAACTCTATACCTATAACCACAGAACATAATAGAACTAAAAGTTCCTATTCTAATATTGGCAACAACGATTTTACAAGAGGTGGTCACGCTCTGGCCTACTTGATCTTAAGTTTTTCGATGCGGTTCCGTAGCCCGCGAAATTTGAATAGGTTATTATTTAAAAATACTTATTTTTGATTTAATAAATACAAAATTATTTAAAATAAACATTTATTGGTACATATATACATAAATAGAAGGGCAATATAACCTAAATTAATGGTTTATTACACATAATGTAGTTAATTAATTACATTACATACTTTATATAAATTTGCCTGTTTAGATTTTATTGTAGTAAAATAAATAAGTTATTTTTAGATTTTCTGTAACAAAAATGAGATTTAATAATTACTTGAAGATAATATAAGTATTATTTTAGTATATTTTAATACAATAAAACCTAAAGAGCCAAATTTCAACACATAAACTATTAATTGTTTAAAACAATTTGTTTTATACATTATAAAGACATTCAGTAAGCTTTGAATAAAAATACATTGTAAGATATTATGAGTTTTTAAATAGGTACTTAGTTAATTAGTATTAAATCAGGTAATATAATTTGATCATCGTTTGTGCACATTCATCAAAGAGTCTCTGATATAATGCTAAAAAAATACTTAATTAACATTTACAACAGTCAATTTTCTTAGTGACAAAAAATCTTATTTAATACATTTTTAATACCTTGTATATATTACACAAAAATAGCAACATTACAGTTAAATCTATTAACATAGGTTATATGTTATATATAAATAAGTATTTTGTCAGACTAAAAAGTGGAATCCCACATAAAAATATACTTAAAATAAACAATTGGGAATCCCAATTGGGGATCATCCATAAAGTATATCACACCTTTTTGGAGAATTTCAGACTCCCTCCCCTGATGTCCCACATAATTATATTATTATGTTATCTTAATCAATGATGTTATAATATTTTCAGTCTTGACCCTGGTGGCAGGTCTGCCTTTCCCCTAAACATGTGACCTACTTTATGGACAACCCCTTGTTAATAACATATGCTAAAAACTAAAATAAGTAAAAATAAATAAAAATATATATTAATACCTAGTTATTAATATAAATTTATATTTATTTAAACTAATTATGAAGAATAATGATATATGATTAAATTTTATTAGCATCTGCTACATTTTTCCATATTGTGGATCAAAAGTTAGAAAGTAAGCTGGATAGTTTTTAAGCAGGACCCCTCTGGCAAAACATTGACCAAAATATGGATAGTTTCATTCCAGAATAATTTCATTGGATATAACCTATAAAAATCTTATTTTAAAAACAATTTTAAATTTTAAAAATAAAATTTACCTTATTTATGTTTTAAGTGATGAGTTTACTCAATCCTTGTATCCTGTTTCTCCTTGGTTAGTCCTTAAACCATTGATTAAGGTGTGTTTTTTCACTCAACGCTTAAACAATTTCCAAATAAAATTAACCATCATTTAATAACTATTAAAAGTAATGTTTAGTTAAGTATGTAGGTATACCCAAAGATATTATTATCTTTGTTTATACCTACTTAACTAAACATTACTTTTAGCAAATGCGGTCTAATTTAGCAAAAGCCTGTTGTATTATGTGAACACTAGTGTAAAATAATATTAATAAATAAATAAAAACAGGCATAAATATTAAAATATGAACTCATTAACATGGAACAAATGTATGGTTCGATTTGAGCAAATAATCATACCTATTTGCAAAATTATAAGATGGATATGAAAGAAAAAATACTGATAAAACTGTTGATGAGAGGACAAGTTGCTCAAATCAAAGCCGGATTAACGCAAATATGACAAAACTACATTTATATAAATATACATGCATAGGTATGAAAACAAAAAACAAGACATTAATTAAGTAATTTACGATTCAACAATTTGTTTCTATAACTAACTGAATGGTTTATTTAGTTAAGAAATTCAAAACTGGAGTTTTATAAAAGTTTATCACCTACCACAATAATTAAACTTACCTTAAAAAAACCAAAACAACACAAAATTTCAAACAACATCTGCCATTGTTGAAAACTACATAACAAACTGTCAAACCAAACTTTACGATGAGTCACACCACACAAGAATGATACGCGCATGAGCAAGATGGCAAAAGATAGATGTCGCTCAAAAATTTGTTGCCAATTTCCTTTAAAAAGCTGGCCCCCCATGCCTATAACTATAGTTATTGGATTTGCTAAAGATGTCAATAAATAATATCTTTGGAAAAAAAAGAACTTGAATACCGATTACTAGTAGTGAGGTTATAAATCGTTAACGGTGGGTTAATAGTTATTTACGATATAAGTGGGATAAGAGCTTTATTAACGTACGCATGCGAAATTTGCCCAACGAGTGCGTAGCACGAGTTGGGCAATCGCAAAAGTACGTTAATAAAGCGTTATCACACGTATATTGTACAAATTTTTATCTACGTCTCTAAATGAAAAAATAAACGGTAATAATTTTTGTCTAAGACTTAATTTAGGGTTATTTTGACATTTTGACTTTTTTATTTGATTGGTTAAAAACAGAGAAAAACTCAAAATGAGTGGGATAAGAAGTTCTTATCTCACTGGCGCACTGTGGGCCAGAAATTCTCTAAACATTGAAAAAGTCAATTTTTAATAATCATGGAACAACAAGTTTTTTTATGCTAAAAACGGTCAAGTAGACCATTAAGCTTACAAAAACACCAGAAATATGTCCGTGAGTTTTTATGTTGACACACGCGGGTTTGACAAATGTCGGTAAATTTAATACTTATTGTCTGGTTTATTTTGTTTAAACAAATCGCTTAAGTTTAAGACATTACAGTTTAAGGTGGATTAACTTTTTGACAGAAACTATGAGTGGGCCAGATGCAGGCAAGTTCAAGGTTTTATACCATTTAAATTTTATGGATTTCTTTGCGAATTTACAAAAAAAAATAATGATTTAGTGAACGCATGTAAAAGCAAAAATTAACATATCACATGGATATTTCACCAGATATATATCAAGATCGACACTGAAGTACACGTTTTTGTTGATGCTCTTAAACTCTCCAGTACTTAAGCTTTATTATCGAAAAAAAAACTTTTGCCGAATTTTGCCTATCCAGGAGAAAATGCAAGATTTTCTGTGTGGTATTTTACAATTTGATTCAAAATAAAGCTCTATTCGGGTATTAGTTGAAAGGTTATTAGGCCCAGATTGTAAAAGACTTTTTGAATATGTGATCTGTCATTTTGAAAGTTTTGACTTTTTTTTCGAAATGATATATTTAAGGCAATTTTAGTGTTTTTAATTGATTTTTAATTTTTTTTGTTTAATCGTTTGAGCTGTGGTGCCTATAAATTGGCAGTAATTTTAAAATACCCTGAAAACAAGAAACATTTATTATTAAAAATCAAAATAGTTGAGTTTTTTTTAATATAAGAAAATATATTAAAAATATATATACAGTGTGACCCATTTGTTTGCGACTCAACCCTGTAAAATATTTATTTATTGTGCGATTTTAACCGGATTTGTTTTAAGGTGTAGATCTTGATAAACTATATTTTTGGAGCAAAAAATGCCATATTTGTACAAAATACAAGGCCTACTATGACAATTTTTAAGAGTAAATTTTTAGGAAGTCATATTAGCAAGTTTTTTAAACAAAATCTAAACACGGCACTGGATTCACCACATGGCACTATTACTATAAGTTTAATTTTATTTCAATGTTATTTTCATGGATAACTTGACAGAATAAATTTTTGTAGTTAATATTATGCATTTTTCAATAAAATTTAGTATAATGTCGTTTCGAGGGGAGGTGAATCCAGTGCCGTGCTTAGATTTTGTTTAAAAAAATCACTTATATAAATTCTTAAAAATTTACTCTTAAAAACTGACATAGTAGGCCTTGTATTTTGTAAAAATATGTCGTTTTTTGCTCCAATAATACAGTTTATCAATATCTACACTTAAAAAAAAATCCGGTTAAAATCGCACAATAAATAAAGATTTTACAGGGGTGAGTCGCAAACAAATGGGTAAATAATGTTTTTCCATAACTCAGCTTTTTCAATCTTATACCTTCGGCTTTGTATCGATTTTTTTAAATTTAAAATATAGCATTTTAAATAATTTTTTTGCATAACTCAGCTTTTTCAAGCTTTGTTTCGATTTTATTGGGGCCATAAGATGTCTATGAAAATCTATATTATTTTTAAAAACTGTTGAAAAAT